GAGAGAGGAGAGGAGAGAAAGAAAGGAGAGGGAGAGAGAGAGAGAAAGAGAGAGAGAGAGAGAGAGAGAGAGAGAGAGAGAGAGAGAGAGAACACATTCTGTCTTGTGAACAGAGCTTACCATTAGCGCTCCCACTTTCTCAGAACTTAGAAACACCTGTTCACTGGGATTTCTCCCGGAGGCCTCTGTGGGTTCTGACTCTTCAGTTTTAGACAATGCTGTAAATCTAGCCTTTAAAGCCCACATGCAAAAAGAGAACAAAGCAAAACCTCTTCCACCTGGTTTCATGCATCTCTAATGGAAAACTGGTTGTGTCTGGAGAACTCAGCTGGCGGAGCTCTCCCAGGCTTTCTCTATCAAATGGCAGCAAAGCAAGAGCACCATTCTCTGCCCGTGTAGCTTCGTGTGTGTACATTGTGATATCCCTTCCATATATACACAGTCACACCCCCTAAAAAAGCCATATAATTGGTGGGTGCTTATGTAAGGCCAGAATCAGACCACCAAGCAGAAGTCTTTGAAGTGCCGTCTTTGTGAACGTGTTTGCAGGCAGAGGTTGACACAGGTTTCCCTTTTCATGGCTGTGATTGGAAAAAGCCTTGCATGCCTTCCGTGTCCATTGTCTGAGACAATCAGAGAACAATCTTTTCCTAGGACCGTTCAAGGTCTGGGTAATTCAGAATGAAACAGAAGTATGGCTTGCCAGCTAGTATATTTGCTGTCTCCCTTATGCCAGCTTTGGAGACTCAGCATTTGCCAACTGAATGAAAGGAGAGGTGTTTGCAGTGGGGTGTGGCTGTCTGTCTGTGTGGAGCCTGTTCCCAAGAACCGCCTTCCTGGGAGTGAGTGTGCAGGACCTCTGGCTAGCACGCCCAAGTGCATATGTCAGCTGGCAGCGCTCTTTGGAGAGTTCTAAAAATAAAATCTGATTGTTTCCAGTATTTAATAATATGTCTAAACAGGATCCTATTTGGGGATAATTAAGATTAAAACTGAGTCTGCATTGGATAGTGTCAAGCTTTCATCCAAAAACTGGCAAAAGGTATTAAATCAAAATTTATAGTTTACTTAAGACCTAGGTTTAAGCCAGGTGGTGGTGGTGCACGCCTTTAATCCCAGCACTCGGGAGGCAGACACAGGTAGATCTTTGTGAGTTCGAGGCCAACCTGGACTACAAGAGCTAGTTCTAGGATAGGTTCCAAAGCTACAGAAAAACCTTGTCTCAAAAAAACAAAAACAAAAAAATACCTAGGTTTAAAAGAAAGTAGCAGAAATCAAACCATGTTCTTGCGAGCAGCCTCTTCCACATGTCTTCTCTGGAGATGGGGCTACTTTATGTCAAAAGTCAGACAGAACACAAGAAAGTGTTTCCATGATTCTTGATTGAGGAAAAAGTGGTGAGTGTGCAGATAGGTCCTATGTGTTCAGAGTGGCCAACTGCTAACTTCCAGGCCAAGCTGTCAGGTGTTTTAGTAATGTATTCTCTGTCTCAAAAAAAAAAATCAAAACAATTAAAGACTTGAGATACACTTCCAATAATAGCAGTCAGCGATTTTTGACCAGATAGGAGAAAGAAAAATGCCAGAACTTGATGTGATGAACACAGATCTTACAGTGGGACTCAGAGACAGTCGTGGTTGCATCCTGCAGGGAGGAGTAGGAAGATAACGCGCGCGTCCAGGGTCCATCGAGACTGGAGATGATCCACTCATGGTCTTCAAAAGATGTGCTCAGAGCACCCGCGTGCCCTGGAAGCTGTTAGTGCATTCTAAGTGTGCCGATGTAGTGCATTCTAAGTGTGCCGATGGCGAGCAAGCGAGGGAGGTGGCTGCTGGAGCTGGAGTGGCCAGGAGAGCCACTTCTTGGGGAAGGAGACACTTGAGCTAAGATGAAGTTGCTAGAGGACATTCCAGAGAGAAGGAAAAGCGGGAATGTTGTTTCTTCTATTTAGTTGCAGTCCTTTTCCCTGGCTCCTTCTGTAGTCCTCACCTCCTGTGCTTAAAACACTTAACACGAATGTGAGATCACCCAGGCTGTTGACAACCTTGTGACAGCGAGGAGTGCCACGAAAATGCTTATTTGAAACTGGCACAACTTCAGTTTTTTAACCACTTCCCCTTTTCTTTTCTTTTTTTTTTATGATAAGAAATGTAGTTTGGTTCATTCCCGTCTGCCTGGGTCCTTTTCCACGTCAACACAGCATGAACGAAAAGATTTTGCCTTGGCTTCCAGAGTTACCGCACCATGCTTTGAGAACATACCTGAATCAAATGGTTAACTGGAAAGGGTTTCTGCCTTCCAAATAGTCCTCACGATCAGGACTGAATGGAATTGTTTGCTATGTCGAAAGGAGCATGTCTTAGTTCCTTTTTCTTGCTGGGCTAAGACACGGGACCAAAATAACCAATAGAAGAGAGAGATTGTAGGGAACTTACTTTTCAGAGGGTGAGTCTGTGGCCATCATGGTGGGAAGCGTGGCGGCAAGCAGGCAGGCCTGGTGCTGGAGCAGTAGCTAAGAATTCACATCTGATACACAAGCTGGAGGAAAGACAGAAAGAGCAACCTGAGAATGGCCTTGGCTTTTGAAATCTCAAAGCCCAACCCTAGTGACATACCTCTTTCAGCAAGGCCATACCTCCTAATCCTTCCTAAACAGTTCCACCAACTGGGGACCAATCATTCAAATACATGAGCATGTGGGGGGTGGCATTCTCATTCAAACCACAACAGGACCTTAAAAAGTGACACATTGGGAAGTCCTCCATCATTCAAACATTAACCATTTCTTTTATCCCTTGTTTATAGGGCTAATACCCCTAAAAGGAAGATGGCTGAGCTCAACACTCACGTGAATGTCAAGGAGAAGGTAAGGTCTTGCTGCTGTGTGTTGGCTCTCAGGAACTGCAAACTGGATGCCATAATCCTTGCTGGGAAAACCTGATTATAATGGAAGGAGGGGAAAAAGAGTTGCAGGGATACATAGAAAGTTTGTTGTGCTGGTATACTATGTATCAGTTGCACTGGTATACTATGTATCAGTTGTGCTGGTATACTATGTATCAGTTGCTGGTATACTATGTATCAGTTGCTCTGGTATACTATGTATCAGAAAGTTACATCTGTGGACTGTGTGATAAGCACAGCCCATTCATTTGCTCAATTCTGACCTTGATCTCCATGCTGCACAGCTGAGTCACGTGGCTCAATTCACATAGCAGGGAGGCAGCGTCTAAGAGCTTACATCTGACACAATCTCTCCAGCCATCCTGCAGTCCTTTTAGTTGGCCTGTTAGGTGTCTTTCAACCCTGAGAGCTCATGACGCTGATTCTCCCTCCCATTGTTATCATTTGTTATGAACTGGTCCCCTTCCCAGCGGGTCATCATTATCTTCATCTGTGTATTAATTAATACATTGTAGGATTGACGCCTAATGGCCCAGAATCCTCGGCCATTGAGATAAAGCTGCCCCACCTACCTCCTAGCAACAGAGACTATGAGACTCATGCATAGGGACCTCTGTCAGTCTCCACTCACGTTTCAGTCCCCAGAGGTGCTCCAGACTCCTCTGGACTGTGACTTCCTTAAGGGCAGGTATTTGTTCCTCATCACTCTGTATTCATGCCATTCCTAAAAATATAGCATGAAGCCTGAGAGAAGTGACGTTTGTGAAGTCCTAGTGATTCTTTTCTTTACCTGACGCCGGTGACGTGGCTCCAGACACGCAGATGAGGCACCTGCTTCCATTGAGTGCCGTCGAGAAGCCAAAAGTAAATGCAAGAACATATAACTGAATGCAATAGTTTCAGGCCAACAGCTTTGAGAAACACACAGTAGGGTGCTTTGGTGGGAAGGCAGGTGGGAAGGGAACTACTTCACAGGAGGAGGTCCCAGGAGCCCTTTGAGAGAAGGTCACATTAGAACTGACAGAAAGTTGAGGGGAAGGAAGCAACCACGGAAAGATCTGAAGGCAGAGAATCCTATGTAAAAAGGCAAAATAAAGTGCATAAAACGTGTGGAGTTGAGTGTGTTCGGAGACCAGAGAGCAAGTAGGGGCCTTGGGTGACAGGCAGAAGGGGTGGGACATAAGGCGGGGGGGGGGGGGGGGGGGGGACACCACTTGGCCTAGGCCATGACAGAGCACAGCGAGTGGGCAGACCACCATGAAGGCCTAAAGGGGCTGATGTGTCCAGATGTGTGCTGTGGGGGTTCAGCAGGAAGGTGCCATGCTTGGCTTCAGTGTATTGCCTGGAAGGGGCTGTGAGTGCCCATGTGAGGATGGTGGTTGTTTGGCTACTGCTCTGCTGTAAACATCAAAATGTTGGCAGTGTTTTGGGAAAGGCTGATGTTTGAGTTGTAAATATTGTGACTCTACATGACAATGAGGCAGAACTCCTCTAACTCAATTAGTGAATTCCTCCCTCCCGAGTCAAAAGTTAATAGCGTTCTCAACTCAATCAAATCAACCATAAGGAACAAGAGAAATTCTGATCATATGTAGTTTTACTTTGATTTATTTTAGTGGACTTGTTTCCTTTAGTTATTAGCTTTTGTGGCCTTTAATGATGAGTTTGTTTCTCAATGTGTCACACCAAGCAATGACATTTCTGAAAATTAAGAATAATAACAACTGTTAGGTCTTCGTTTATAAGTCTTCATTGATTAGTGAACAGATCCTCAGTGCTTTAGATGCAATATCTAGTCAACCCATTGGGAAGGCGGAGACCAGGAAATTCCTGGAGTGTATTAGCCAGTCAGCCTCCCCAAATCTGTGAGCTCCAGGGCCCACTGAAAGGCCTTACTCAAAAATTAAGATGGATGGTTCCTGAGACATGACACTCAGGCTGACCACAGGCCTGCGCGCACACACACACACACACACACACACAGGCATAGACACACACAGGCCCACATACACACCTGTACACACACACACTTACACACATACACACCTGCACACACACACAGGCATAGACATACACAGGCACACACACAAGAATAACAAGTAATGAAGAAATACATAATCTGTTCTGTTTTAGAAAAAGGTTTGACCTTGAAATGAGTCCTTTATATATTTCTAGTGGATCAAAGGGACAGATTGAATACAAGCAATTTTTGTCTTTGTGCAGATTTTTTTTAGTTCAGAAAAGAAGCTAATAATGTTTAATATCCAGGATAAATAAATGTTGGAGGGAGTCCGCTTATTGGTTCCTGGATGCCGGGTTAGCTTAGACCTGAAATAATTACACAGAAATTGTATTAATTAAATCACTACTTGACCCATTAGCTCTAGCTTCTTACTGGCTAATTCTTACATATGAATTTAACCCATTTCTATTAATCTGTGTATTGCCACATGGCAGTGGCTTACCGGCTAAAGTTCTGGTGTCTTTCTCCGGTGGGGCTCCATGGCTTCTCTCAGTCTCCACCCTTCTTTCTCCCAGCATTCAGTTTAGCCCCCCCCCCAGCTAAGTTCTGCCCTGCTAGAGGTCCAAAGAAGTTTCTTTATTCGTTAACCAATCAAAGCAACACATAGACATAGGACCTCCCACATCAAGTTGTAATAGATTCTTATTACACTTATTTCAAAATAACTTTGTATTATTGGATGACAACTGCAAGGATTTAAATTGTGTCTGTGACTCAAACAGAAGTCCAGTTTCCTCAATGTGGCATGCATTTTCTTCCTTCCTTCCCTCTGCCACTGTCTCTGCACACGTGCCCCTCAGCCCACCATGGTGACCTTGAACATGCTTGCCCACAGGGCATTGCCAAGGCAGTTTCCTGGGTGCCCGTGTGGTTCATCTCCTTGCCGAGCCTGAGCCTCACTCCCCTTCCGTTCCGGAACTCTTTAGATTCTCTGCATCTTTCATCACAGCTTGCTTAAATGCTGTGTGGGCTTAGGTGCCTGTCTCCCTGCTCCAAGACCTGCTGTTTCTTGGGAGCGTGGTGCGGGCCTTACCTTCTTGGATTTGACCCATGGTTAGCCCCTTGGCTGGAGTTGGATAAATGAATGGGTAGCGGATGAGTGAACACAAGTATTTGAATAGTTAAGGTCTTCAGAGAGTTGATGAAACCTCATTTATGAAATTTTATCAAATCTCAAGGCTTCTTGAAAAATGGAATGTAGGTTAATGGAAATGTCACCTCATTTTTGTACCCATGGCTATTAATGCAGGTTTTAAATTGCTCCTGGAAACAGGAGCTTAGTTGGGCTTTTTGGGCTGATGACGTGGACTTCAGAAGGTGGTGAATAAGAATCAGGATAACTAACGAGCTAGCTAGAGCAAACTTGATTGAAGACGGGCAGCAGAAGATAATATCTAGGCAACCCAGGATCTTATCGTTGGGGATAGTTCACGGTTTACAGGTATTTTCTCATCTATTTTACTTTGTTAAAGGTATGTTTTTCTTATTTTTAATTAAAATTTAGGTGTGTGTATGTGTGTGTGTGTCCACCTGTGGGCTGGGTGCGTGTACATGAGTTTATTTAAATTATTTTTCTTAAAACAAAGTTCAACACTAGAAACTCCGTGGATAGATTAGTTGAGAGCATACTATTGAACTTCCTGCTTAAAATACATAGTTATCAAGTAATACTGATTTACAGAGCTTTAACATAAAGAATAATAATGATTGATATAGAAAAATAGGATTTTTGTCGGTTTTTTAAAAATATATTATCAGTTATTTTCAATTTAGTAAGAAAATTATTGATGAAAAGTAAAGGGAATCCTTGCTTATAAAACAGAGTGGGTGTGTTCCTAGTGTCCAGGTATGGTGTAGTAAGCCATTCCCGTGATGAATGATTCCTGAGCCACCATAGGGGACTTCATGTCCTTGGGAGTGACCTCAATAAGGAAGGCTATGGGGAAGCATATGTCTAGAAGGCAGGAGTTGTCATTTCCGCAGTGAGGAGCTGAATAGCCTGTAACAAACACTGAGCTCTTCCACTCACGTGTGAAGTTCCAAGGTTCCCCAGAATGAAGTCATCAAATACAACAGTAAGTGCAGAAATGTGTTATGAGCTCTTAGTACCAGGAAGCTAAAGGATACAGGCACAGGGCAAGAGCATCTGTTGATTTTGCAAATAAAAATGGGGACATTGCCTCTCATTAGCACATCTTTCAGTGTTCAAAGTGCAAATCCCTGTAGAACCAAGATTGGGAAGGGGAAAACCAATGAGAAGACAGAAAAGTGGCCTTGACTCTCAGATCTGGATAGGTATTGGTGAACTGCCCTGCCAATAATTGAGGCAGGACGGTATGACAGTGTTGAAATGGGGACCAGCTCGGCCTGCGATGCCATTGCTGGGAGGTCATCTATTGGGAACAGCTTTCAGAGCAGGCTGAGCTGCTGGGGTAAATTGGATTGTAAGCAATCACTGCGTAGCGTCATTGAAATGAAAGGGGACAAGACTCTTGTCCACACTGCGTCCGAGGTAGTGGCATCATCACCGTTTCTGCAGGTCACTGCAGAACGCTCTGATCTGAGCCCAAGCTGCTGTCTGTGGCAGTCAGACGATTATCTCTAATAAGCTCTTTTTATTATTTCTCTCGGTCTGTTGCAAAGTACTGAAGACATAGCTTGGGTGTTTGTTTGGGCTGGAAGGTGGCCAGAAAAAGCCACGAGTTTGATTAGAGATTTTATCAGATCTGAGGTGTTGATATTCAGTGTGAAACATCTTTAAAATATTAACCTGTCTCATAGAGAAACCATTTCGTAGGAGTTGGGATGAGTTTTAATGACATATAGTTGATATATACAAAGAATCTATGCTCCAGGAGAAGCCTTAATTTTATAATTTGTCACGAGAGTTGAATTTAGCCCAACCGTTGGATTCAGATCACAAGAACACCAGCTCTGTA